AACAACTGGCTAATAAGCATATGAAAAGATGTTCAACATCATTAGTGATTAGAGAAATGCAAATCCAAACCCCAGTGAGTTACCACTTCACACCCTGTAAGAAAAGGATGACTGTAAGAAAAAAAGATAGTAAAGTGTTGACAAAGTAGGAAATTGGAATGCTCACACTCTGTAGTGGGAATGTAAACTGGTACTGCCAGTTTGGAAAACAGTTTGGCAATTGCACTCCTATGTACCCACCCAAGAGAAATGAAAACGTAGTCACACAAAAACTTGCATGTTGGGGCTGGCCGAGTGGCTCAGTTGGTTGAGAACGCAAGCTCTGAGCAACAGGGTTGCCGTTTTGATTTCCACATGGGGCAGTGAGCTGCACCTGAGCTGAGCTGCCAACAGGTGGCAGGATGGCTCAGCTGGTGAGAACACGTGCTCCTAACAACAAGGTTGCTGGTTTGACTCTCGCATGGGATGATGGGCTGCACCCCCTCTCCACCCCCACAACTAAAATTGAACACAGCACCTTGAAATGAGCGGCGGCGAGCTGCCATCGGGCTGCCAGATGGCGATTGGACTTGCTGCTGAGTTAGCTGCGCCCTCCACAACTAAGATTGAAGGACAACAGCTTGGCTGTTCCCCTTCCCCAATAAAATCTTAAAAAAACAAAACAAAACAAAAACTTGAATATGAATGTTCACAGCAGCATTTTTCATAATAGCCAAAAAGTGAAAACAAGCCAAATGCCCATCAACTGATGAATGCTTAAACAAATTAGTATTTCCATAGAATGGAATATTTTTCAGCCATAAAAAGGAATGAAGTTCTGGTATGAGCTAGAACATGGATAAACCTCAAAAACATTACACTAAGTGAAAGCCAGTCACGGAAAAACATATATTGTGTAATTCCATTTACATGAAATGTCCAGAATAAACAAAACTATATATAATCAAAAAGGAGGCTGCCCGTCACTGGGGAGAAAGGGCTAAGGGAGGATGGGGAATGACTGCTAATGGGTACAAAGTTTCCCTTCAGGTGATGAAAATGTTCTAAAATTACATTTTGATATTTATACAACTGTGCAAACATACACTTATTTTTGTTTTTTAAGATTTTCAATTTATAGGTATTAAAATTACACAATTTGGTTTGCTTTGATTTCAGGTTATTCTTTTTCATTTTCCTCTGATAGTGCAGATAAAACATACGCTTTAAAGGGGTGAACTTTATGGTCTATCTCAATAAAGCTGTTTTCAAAAAAGTCTCATGGGGGGTGGGGCAGAACCTGGGTATGGCCCCACACTGGTCAAGCTCGGTGGGATCTGTTAGAGTGACTGGAGATGCCTGATCCCCAGCCTCTACTCCCACAATGCCCATGGGCATCAGCTATTAAGATTTGTCATGAGACTGCTCAGAGAGACAGGGGAGAGCACACAGCCCAGTCCCAGCACCTACAGCACCTACAACAGGAAACCTAGGAAGGCAGCAGCATCCATGGTCTGGCTTTTTCCCCATAGAAACAGAACTTTCTATGGGGAAAAAGCACTGGGCAGAAGTTGATTACCACAGTGGAGCAGGGCATAAGGATCTTACCAAGGGAGGTCATGAGCTCAAAGTTCTCCAGCATCACATCATGGTACAGTGCCTCTGGGCTGCATCAAGAAGGCCCCACTCCTCCTTGGAGAGGTACATAGCCACATCCTCAGTGGTCACCGGGCTCTACAATGATGGGACAGCTGAGTCAGGGTGCCACTAGATGAGCTGAAAAACAAAACAAAATAGTCAAATGGACTTGTCCAGGCCTTTGACCTGTGACTCAGAGTTCAGCCACATTTATCACTGGCATCTCCTCGTAACTCCCTCAGTCCATCCTCCCCTCACCCACCTGCAACTGATCTTCCTCTTCAGGCCCCCACCTCAGAAGAGATAACAGGTCCTGGCACCATTGGTGTCCCTCTCCCCTTTTAGTCCCACTGGTCACTGTATCCAGGCCAATCCAACCTAGAGGAACAAAAGGCAGGTGGGCAGATAGACACTGTCTGAGCTCTGGACTGGCATGCAGCCCCACTCCCCGGCCTGGCCAATTTCCAGATATGATAAAAATTGGGGCTCTCCTTTCTCCCTTAAGCCTCTAGTACCAGGGCCCATTGGTTCACATTCTCTAACCTTGTACATGTGACTCTTTGGACCATACCATCCTCTTATGTCCACCCCAACCCCATCCCTTGACCACACCATAGGCATCTCTCTAGAGTCTCCACATTCCACTATGTACATGGCATACCTGAGAAAGACAACCAGGATCCAATACTGACCGTGGCCTGCCCCCGATATCCCAACAATCCCCACTGCCAGAGACAGTCATCACCCCTCTAGTTAATGCCTCCCTCCTTGCCCAGCTGCTTCAACCTTCAGCTCCCTAGAACCATAAGTATATCTTAAACACCCCTGCTCTCTTCCACCTCTGCCCTTGTATGTATTGTCCCCTCACCAGTCAGAGTGGTCTTCCCTCTTCCTAATACACAAACTCCAGACCCACGGGCCCCCACCCTTGGCTTGGGGACTCAGCTTGGCCTGACTCTTTCTGCCCCCGCTACTCCACCACATGGACAAAATCCCCAGGTAAACCAATCTAACCTTAGGCCCCACTGTCATCCTATCTCTGTTGCTTCTACGCTTCACTTTTTTTTAATTCCAGGTGTATTCTCTGCTCAGAGGCTTGGTCACCATCCTGAACCCAAGCCATGGCCACACACATTGTCCACACCCAAGCCTCCACCCCTTGGATGTCTCCAGCCTGGACATGTCATAAAACACACTTGGCACCTCAATTTGGCAGTCTCTGGGACATCTCAAATACAATATGGTCAAAACTCAATGCTTTATCTTTCCTGTGAAATCTACTCTCACACCAACTTCCACATCTGAAAAACCTATCAGGGTCCTGATGTATCAATGCCCCACATCAGGAAATCTAGTTCCACCCTCCTTAAAAAAGCAGATCCAGAAGCCAACCATCTCTCCTACCTCCATAGGCACCCTTCTGGTCTAGCCACCAAAAGCACACATCTGGACTATTACAGTCACCTCCACAATGGTCTTCCTGTCTCCAACCTCACCATCACCATCACCATCCCCACCCCGCCCAGTCTGTTCTCCACCCAGCATCCAGAGGGAGTCTGTTAAGACCATAGTCATATCACCTCCCTTCTCTACTCTAAACTTTCCAGGACTCCCACCACAGTCTGAATATTGGCTCTGCCCCTCAGCCTGCCATTCCAGGCCCGCCTCTGGTCCGCCTCCTCTATTTCCACGAGACAAAATGGAGACCTGCTGTTCCCTGAACACTTCCACCTTATACTCACCTCCAAGCAATTTGCACATGCCGGTCCTTGTGCCTGGTCACTCTTCCAGACCTTATCCATAGGATTCCAGAAACATGAACCCCTCCATAGAACCTCTGGCCTGGATTCACGATGCTAGGGGAAAGTGACGATCAAAGCCCCGGATTCATGTGTAGGCGGAGGTCCAGAACACAACCAGTTCCAAACCAGGGATCCCGCGGGTGAGGGTCTGAGGCACCTCCACTCACCTGCGGCGGCGGGTCCATCAGCGACGCTACCGGCCTGGCCGGAACGTGCAGGCTCATCGGAACCTGCGGGCTCATCCGAACCCCACACACGACTAGGCTGGGCGACCGTAGGCTGACGGTCGCACTCAGGGTGACGACACAAAGCGTCGGTTCCACATCCGGGAAAACCGAGGCTCAGGAAGGATGAACCACTGGCCGCGAGTGGAAGTGCGTGCGAAGGTGCGGCGAGGATTCCGGAACTTCCCTGCTTCCTTCTTGGGTTCCAGCGGTCGCCTGGGCAGCGACCCACCGAGAGAAAACGAAAACAGCAATGGCGACGACGTAAATCCCGTCCGGTCCTCTGCTCCCGCCACAGAAACGCTCTCACTTGGAGCCTGACTGGCTCAAGGCCCGCAGTGGACTAGAACACTTTCCTTGAGTCAATCGCCGCTTGATCATTGCCTACGTGACCAAGAAGGAGGCACCTCGTGTCCCTGCTCACGATACGCGAACTACATTACCCAGAAAGGCCCTCGCTTTGCGTTGCAACAGTGCTGACCAATGAGAGCTCAGAAGAAGGGCATTTTGGGCGGACTGTACGTATTCTGGTTAGTGACCGCCTAGGGGCGGATGTTTTGGGAACCACCGCGCTGGCGGGGGCGGAACTTCCAGTGTCGGACAGTTGCTTTGGTGTCTGCCTGTTATGTCCACACGAGGCAGATGCACCCTATTGCTGGGCAGTGGGCGGTGCCCGAGAGGCCACCCAGGCGAAGGAAACGGGAGCAGAAAAGGCATGAGAGTCTGGTAGAGGTCCCGCCTCTGTGCCCTGTAAGCCCCGTGACCCCTGCGACTGTCCGGCCTCCGCGAGCCCTAGTGTCCCGGGCCTTAGAGGGGCAGCCCCGGGCCCTCTGGCCGCACCATACTTGGGTGTCCGCCAGGCCCTCCGCCAAAGCCCGTACATGTCCTCAGCTTGGTGTGCGCTGAGATGGAGGCACAACAGTCACCCGTCAGGATCCAGCATGTGGCTGGACTGCGAACGTGACCAGTGAGCCGATGGACTAGGCACAGACAAGTAAGGAAGTGTCTCCTGGCCCCCACCCAGCTGGACACCAGCCCCTGTGTACTGTGTTCCGCACTGAATCCCAGGCCTCGGCATTCAGGACGGTGGAGCGTTCACAGGTGGGGGTCTCCATTTCAGAATCCAGTGTTGTAAGATGTGGATACAGGCAGATCTGCATGTGCAATGAATGACTCGCGGTGAGACTGACCGATAAGTGTTCTGGAAAGTCCTCGTGTCCCCACTTCAGGAAACCAAGAGCGTGAGGAGAGGAGTCCTGCCTCTGTAGGCGGGCTGAGTAGAAAATTTTGAATAGAAGAGGGATGGCCATGATCTGAGTCAGGATTTTGCAAGTATCCCAATGGATAGTGAGTGAACACACTAAACTGGTGGGAGAGGGGATGTGACGGGGCTGAGAATAAGGAGATTCATGAGGATGCTGCTGCAATATTTTTCAGGACAGTTATAATGGTGGCCTGTCTGGAATAGTAGTAGCAGGAGAAGTGAGAGAAATGATCAGATCCTGGATCGATTTTCCGATGGAGTCGATGGGATTTCCTGCTACACTTGGAGAGTGAATGTAAGTGACGGATGAAGGGCCATCCCACATGTTTGTTTGTTTCTTTATTTATTTAAAATATTTTTATTGGGGAACTGGGGGAAGGGGAACAGACAAGTTGCTGTCCTTTTGTTCTTCAGTATAGTTGTGGAGGACGTTGCTTCACTGACCCAAGTTGGCACCATCATTGCACTCTTCCTGGGCGAGGCAGATCAGTCACCAGCTTCTGGACGGCCACTCACTGTGGCTGCTGCCCGCTCATGCTGGCTGCTGGCCACACACGGTAGCCCATGGCAACCCACTGCAGCAGGGGCTGCAGCCTAGCCATCACCGGCAACTCACGGCAGCCCAGCTCCAGGTTGAGCTGTTGTTCAACATCTTAGCTGTAGAGGGCAGTGTCACTGGCCCTCATGTGGGATCCGAACCGTGGTCCCCTGGCGTCCCAAGCCAGCTCTTAACCAACACGCCACTTCAGCCGGTCCGTCATCCCACATGTTTAGGAAGAATGAAGATGGAGGTTGGCAGGAGGAGGATGTTTTGGGGAAGATTAGCAGTTGGATTTTGTAGGTATAGTCTGAATTGTCTGGAGACTTCTGAGTGGAGGTGACACATGCCCTGGTGAACACACAGGGAGTTCCAGTTTGGCTACCAGATATCCAGGCTTCAGTTTACTGGTGGCCAGGACCAGAGAAGGAGCTAAGAATGGGATTTTGGAAGGAGAATCTTAGGCTGTGGTTACAGATGGGTCATGAGGTGAGTTTGGGGTGTCCAGTCTAAGGACCAGTGACTGAGTGGAGGAGGTGGATGCAGAAAAGAGAAGCACTGTTCCAAGACCAGTAAATCTTGGGAAAGTGCACATGCAGGAGGGCCCATGCTCTCAGATACATCAGAGAGCAGAGTTTGAGAGACATAAGGGGAGGTGGCTGGTAAGACAGAGACTGGGGTACCAGGTCCCATGCCCAGTGCTTAGATCACATCCATCTACCCCATGACCTGGTGCTGTCGGGCCCAGTGACCTTCCAGGACAAGATCACATTTCTCTTTCAGAAAAAGGGGAGCTCATTAGTGAGGTCCAGTGTAGCTTCTATTGTGACATGATTCTGTCCTCACCAGGTCAGGCTGCTGTGCTCCCTGTGGAAGGTGCTGTTGGCCCTGGTGCTGGCCCACCTCCTGCTACCTCTTCTCCAAGACTACTGTATAAACAACCCCAACACCTTTTACCTTGGGTCCTTGATAACCATGGTCCAGGGTCAAAAATATCAGAACCCAAGTAGCAGATCACATCCAGCTCAGTGATTTTCTGGCCAGCTGACCCAGACAGGGTCTGTGGTTTTTCTGTCCCCTCTATCACACTTCTTCAGTCCAGCAGAAATTTTCTGCCAGCTACCCCTTGTCAGCCTCCATAATGGCATTGGGCACTGTCATGGTTATTGATTGTGGGACCACTGAGCTTTTCCAGTGAGATCTTCCCTGGCTGTTCATTTTGTGAGGTTCAGTTTTCCTAGAGGCATACGTAATCCTTACCCACCTTGGTCTCTCATAGGGTGAATTGTCCTATCCTGGGGCTGACCTCTCACAAACCACCTGATCCCCTATAAGAATTGTTGCCTCCACCCCCCACAGTGTGGTCACCCAACTTGAACACTGCAAGGAGACATGGCTGGTGGACATGGCAGCTCAAATCAGTCCATGACCAGTCCTGGTGAGTACAAGGCAGGTGTGGGAGGGCCTGGTCTCTGATCTGGTACCTGACCTGTGCCCTCTCTTCCCATAGTACCAAAGTGAGTAGCCATGTCCCTTTTCTGTCTTTCTGATCCCCTCTCACATTCCATCCTACTATCCCGACTCCTGTTCCCTAGCTGACCCCTCTCTGTCCTCTGCCTCTCAGTCTTTCTCCTTCTCTCTATGGACAGGTCCTCCACCATTGGCATGTCCTCCCCTGAACATGTCCTCGGGCTGGACTCGAACCGCTGTTGCTCAGAGCTCAAACTCTTGAGCGAGCTCTTAACCAACTGAGCCACTCGGCCGGCCCAGATACTTATCTTTAAATAGTTCTTCAAACCTGTTCCTTTGTTTGGTACGCTCTGGCATAACCAGGGAAATACTAAAATTCCGATAAGCTGGCTGGTGTACACAATGCCCTGGTGGGGAGAGCTGAAGGCAGGTTAAAGACACCACCCATGCACTGTAGGCAGCCATAGCTAACCACACAAGTACAAGGAGCAGTGTTCCTGATGATCCATGTCTACCCTGAGCCCCCAAGTTTCAACTGGACTTTAACTCTGATCTCAAGTTGATGGAAGACAATTATTACACCCAGAAGGGACGGCCTGAGTCAAAGGGTGCCCTGATACCTTAGGATGCTGGAGAGAGCTGTGGCCAACTTGTCACATGCTTGGCTGACCACAAGCCTGTCTGGGATGCTATCCCTTATGTGGTCAGCTTCAGGGAATGGGGGAAGAGAGTCACCCTGAGTGTGGTGGCAGCAATGCCACTGCCCATGCTATATGCTATGGGGTAAACTCTGTGGGCCCACAGTCTTCATGTCTAGGGACTTGGTTTGCTTATTTTCTTCCCTTTTTTTAGAATTTTTTTTTAATTGGGGAATTGGGGGATGGGAACAGCACTGGGGAATTGGGGGAAGGGGAACAGACAAGTTGCTGTCCTTTTGTTCTTCAGTCTAGTTGAGGACGAGGACGTTGCTTCACTGGCCCAAGTTGGCACCATCATTGTGCTCTTCCCGGGCGAGGCAGATCAGTCACAGCCTTCTGGATGGCCGCTCATGGCGGCTGCTGGCTGCTCATGCTGGCTGCTGGTGACACACGGTAGCCCATGGCAACCCACTGCAGCAGGGGCTGCAGCCTACGCCATCGCCGGTGACTCACGGCAGCCCAGCTCCAGGTTGAGCTGTTGTTCAGCATCTTAGCTGTGGAGGGCAGTGTCACTGGCCCTCATATGTGGGATCCGAACTGGGGCCCTCTGGCTTCCCAAGCCAGCTCTTAACGAACGCGCCACTTGGCCGGCCCGGTTTGCTTATTTTCTGAGAGTCACAAGTGTTGGCCCAGAAACACATGTGCAGCATACATACCTATAAACTTTGTATAGAAGTTTTTGGGAAAGAATTGTCAACATTTATAAAATCAAAAGGCTCCACATAAAAATATGGGTCTCTCACTCATCTAGGAAAACCAGAAAAAGGGGAAACAACCCTATGTTGATTCCACTATCTCTGACCCCTGTACCCAGGGACAGCACTGCCTCAGTGGCAGCAAAAACCAGCATGTGATGAAGGCTGTGGACACCACACTCGTGTGGAATACTGGGGGGCAGGGGGTGGCGGGGGGAGCACAGCAATCCTGGACTACTGGGTCGCTTCTCAGTCCCTGGTTCCTACCTGTGCAGTGATGGCCTTGTAGTGAACAGCCCAGGGAAGCTGTAGGAGTCCATAGCACCACTGGATTCTTCACTCAGAAAGTGAACAGCACACTGCTGTTCTAAAGGGGCAACCACACTTGTTCCAGAGGACAAGATGAGAATGTGCAGGACTTCCCAAGACCTGCAGAGCTGAGTCTGTTCTGTGGCCAAGGTATCAGCAAATTTTGCACACACTGCAAATCAGGTTTTCTCAAGGTTTTGAGATATTTTTTGCAGAGATCTGTTGCTTGCTAATTTTTATGGTATAAATTCTACTATGGCTGATTTCAGGTTACCCATGTGATGTCACTAAATATGGAGTCGTGCACAATCAGCTCCTGTGAGTGGCTATGATGTGGCCCAGGCATGCCCTGACCATACCTCCTCCGTTTGCCAGTCTCTAGTTCCCTGACCTTAGACACATTGTTTCTTCACCCACTTATGGTCCCACCTGGCCCTGCAGATCTTACACCTGTCTACAGCTTCTGAACTCTGGGGGCCTTATCCATGGGCAGGTCCCAGGAATCAGTGGCCCCTTGACACTACTGGAGAATGTGGGCCATCCCCAGGAATAAGGGAATGCTGCCCAGGAAGTATTAGAAATTGCCACATCAAATACCCAATTTCCAAAAAGCTCTGGGCCCAGCAGGTAGTCCTGGCTTCCAGACACAAGACTTGGCCCAGAGACCTTCAGTCTGTCCCAGGAGACCTTGCGCCACAGGCAAATTAGATTAAGCTAGACTGCAAGCTGTTCCATGACATCCTGCTGTCAAAGTTGGGCCCCCCACCAAAGTCCTTCACCCTCTTTCCTCTGTTAAAGCCCAGGTTTATTCTCAATCTCGCCCACACATGACTGGAGCCCCAGGATTAAAGATGGATTCACCAATAAGGCCTTTATTATCATACACTCAAGACAGGCAGTTCCAGGGCTGGGGGATTTGGAGGCTGGACAGACCTATTGTAGGCATCATCGGTAGGCTCAACCATGCCTACAAAGAAGGGAAACCTCATCAAGAAATTCTCAGACTCCAGTCCAGATCCTGCTGGAACTAGGCCAGGACAAAGCCTGACCTACTGGGGATAGAGGGAAAGTGGAAATGAGGTCATGCTAAAGGGCTCCTATCACTCACAGTTCCCTCCAGGGAATGAGAGAGCACAAGGTCTTCCTTCGTTGAGTATTCTAAGATGACAGGCACATGCTGTGGGGACCTGCCAGCTGGTAGAGGTGAGATGGCATCTGTCAGTGACATTATCTGGCAAAGCACTTGGACAGGTCAGAACGGTGTAGCCCCTGAAAGCTTCCCATGTATCTGGCACTCATAGCAATCTCCCGGTAGGGATGTGGGTATGTGCAAGTTTCCATTTCTGGCTGATGGCTTCCTCACAGAGGTTCCTTTCACATAAGATTTCTCAGAAGCAAGTCCTTTTATTTGTTTTTATTTATTTATTTATTTTAAAGATTTTATTGGGGAATTGGGGGAGGGGAACAGTGTTAGGGAATTGGGGAAGGGGACCAGCCAAGTTGTTGTTCATCAACCTTCGTTGTGGAGGGCACCAGTCACCATCTGACTGTCTGTCGGCAGCTCATGGCCTCTAAGCTCAAGGTGCTGTGTTCAGTCTTAGTTGTGGGTGGGTATAGCCACCATCCCATGTGGGAGTCGAACCAGCAGCCTTGTTGTTAAGAGCACATGCTCTATCCACTGAGCCATCTGGGCAGCAGCTCAGCTCAAGATACCAAGATCAGTCTTAGTTGTGGGTGGGCGAACAGGCAATCTTGTTGTTACACCAGCTGAGCCATCCTGCCACCTGTTGGCAGCTCAGCGACAGCTCAGCTCAGGCACAGCGTCACTGGCCCATGTGGGAATCGAACCGGCGGCCCTGCTGCTCAGCACTTGCGCTCTTAAGCCAACTCTTAACCAACTGAATCACTCAGCCAGCCCAGCAAGTCCTTTTATAGTAAACAAGGAGAAAGCCCATGCTCATGGTTTTCCACATTTGCCACACTCCTAAGGCCTTTCTCTGTTGTAACCTCTCTGGTGCTGGCTGAAGGCATTCCTGTGTCCTCTGCACTCAGAAGGCTCTTTTCCAGTGTGACCCTTCTGATGCTTAGAGAGGTTTGAGCTGTAGCGGAAAGCTTTTCCGCATTTGTTGCACTCGTAAGGCTTTTCTCCAGTGTGAACTCTCTGGTGCTGACTGAGGATGGCGCTTTCGCTGAAGGCCTTCCCACACTGGCTGCATTCATATGGCTTTTTTCCAGTGTGGACTTTGCGGTGCTTAACAAGGTTAGAGCTGTAGCTGAAGGCTTTCCCGCACTCACTGCACTCGTAGGGCCTTTCTCTGGTGTGAACCTTCTGGTGCTGAATGAGGGCAGAGCTTTGACTGAAGGCCTTCCCACATTTGGAGCATTCATAAGGCTTTTCTCCAGTGTGAATTCGCTGGTGTGGGATGAGGTTGGAGGGGCAGCTGAAGGCTTTCCCACACTGGCTGCACTTATAAGGCCTTTCTCCAGTGTGACTCCTCTGATGTAGAATAAGCTTGGAGGTCTGCCGGAAGGCTTTCCCACATTTGCTGCACGCAAAGGGCCTTTCTGTGTTGTGCACCTTCCGGTGCCGGACCAGATGAGAGCTGTTAATGAAGGCTTTCCCACACTCACTGCACTCATAAGGCCTTTCTCCGGTGTGTATTTTCTGATGCTCAACAAAGTTGGAGATACAGCTGAAGACTCGCCGGCACTGTCTGCACTCATAAGGCCGGTCTGTGTTGTGCACTTTCTGGTGCCGAACCACATGGAAGCTGCGAGTGAAGGCCTTCCCGCACTGTGCACACTCATATGGTCGCTCTCCAGTGTGGACTCTCTGGTGCTGGACCAGCGAGTGTTTGCGGGTGAAGGCCTTTCCACACTCACTGCAATTGTGATGTGTTTTTCCAGCGTGAACCTTCTGGTGCATCCTCAGCTTAGATGGGTGGCTGAAGGCCTTCCCACAGTCCTTGCACACGTGCAGTGCTTCTCCAGTGTGAATTTTTCCGTGACCAACAAAGATCGCATTCTCCGTGGGGGCATTTCCACCTGCTGGACAGCTGAAGTGTGTCCCTGTGGAATGAGTCAGCAGGTGGTTGAGGAGCACAAGGGCCTTCAGGAAGGCCTTCCCGCAGCTGCCACACTTGAGGAGCTTCTGTGCAGCAAGGACCCCCTGCTGCTGGTGACAGGGGCTCAGTGCGGGGGATTCCCCGTGGCCCAGGCTCCTGCATGGCTCGCCCTCACTGTGGGAGGGTTGGTGCTGGAGGAGGCCATGGCTGTCCACAACATCCTTACCACACTCCCTGCATGTGATGGGTTTCTCCCCACAGTGCTCCTGGTGCTGGCGAGAGTTTGCACTGAGTAGGAAACCTTTCCCACACACTTCACACTTGTATGGTTTGTACCTAGGATATGTTCCCTGGTGCTCAGCCATGTGCAATATGTCTTTCAAGACAGGGCCACACATGTCACAGGGGTTGATCTTCTGGATGGAAAGACCTGTCTCAGGGGTCCCGAACTGCAGCACTCCTTGTATAGAAACACCCTGCTCAGGAGGGGTTTCCTGTACTCCACACCAACAACCTGAAAGCAGAGAAATGTTGGTGATGTGTATGTCCTACATTTGTTGAGAGGAGGAAGCCCCTTCACAGATGTGTGTCTTAACACATTCAGGAATGAGTCTATAGGACAAAGTCAGGATGAAGTAATAGCCAGCAGTGCTGGATGGGGCTCAGGAAGGCCACAGAAGGCAAGGCCTCAGCATGTGTGATAATGCAGGGTTGGGATTCAGGATGGGAGCAGAGGCAGGGACTCCAACTCCTCAGCTCTCAGCAGGACCCAGTACAAGCCAGCCCCAGGAGATTTCTGACAGGAAAGGGGAACAAAGTGGTGTGCAGAAACCCAGGAAAAAAAACTAGGTATCTGGTGCTCAAGTGTATGAAGTTAGGTGCACACTCCTGATACATTGACTGTAGGCAAGTGTGGGATGGCCCTGCAAAGGAACTGGAGGAGCAGAATGGGGGATATGTGGAGATCAGAGCAGTGGGGTCGTCTGTCATCCAGGACTCAGGGACAAAGTACGAATAGCAAGAAGGTAGTGTCCAAAAAGGTGTGGCTACTGGCCCTAGCAACAAACACTAGTGGACACAGGGCAAATGCTAAGTACAATATGAGCCCAGCCCTGATGTCACCTCTGCCCCAGCTCCCACTCACCAGAGCTAGGCTCCCTCCTGGCCTCTCTTGCAGTGGCTAGAGACAGGTCCACTCTATCGGGCACCCAGGGCTCTTTGCCCTGTTTCAGGTGGGCAACCACACAGGACTTGGAAGATGCAAGTCCTGGGAGAAAGACAGGGTGAGTAAGTAGCTGGCCTAGCTCGGGTGACCCACTCTGTGACAGACAAAAGGGAGCTCGTGCCATCTTTGCAACTGGGAAGAAAATATTAAAAAATAAGCCTCTGAAGAGTGTCTCACAGGAACATCCTAGTGGTCAGTGTCTGCAGTCCACGGCACAGCAAGGTTCCTGGAAATTTCTGACAGAAAAGAGGGGCAGAAACTGGGCACAGAGGTGCCACCAATTTGGACAGACTCAGCTAGCCAAACTGAGGCTCCCAGCTGGGGAAGGCTTCAGAAGCAGTTGTTGGGGCTCCTGTGGCCCAGCTCTGCACACATAGCAGAATGTCCAGGGGAGAAAGCAGTGTCCATGCTCAGCTGTGGGAAGACAGCTGCTCCTGGGAGAAGAGGAATGGCAGAGTCTAGAACGGGAGGCTGGGCGGGTAGGAGGGCCTTACCCAGCGAGGCCACAAGTGCCAAGTTCTCCAGCATCACATTGTGGTACAGGCATCTCTGAGCCTCATCCAGGAGCTCCCACTCCTCCTGAGAGAAGAACACGGCCACATCCTCAAAGGTTCCCCAGCCCTGCCATGATGAGGACAGCTAACTCAATCAGACCAAAAGGCAGCAGAAAAACGAACAACAAAATAAACACATAGATTAACCCATCCAGATCTATGCCCGTGAATCTACTCCCTCCACTCCTGGTGGGCAGTCTCAGATCCCTAACACACTCCTAGGTCACCCTCCTCCCTAAGCTCCAATGCCATGAGTGTCAGTCTCCTCATGTTCCACTGATCACTGTGTCCTTCAAACAGCAGGCAGGTGGGCAGTAGATGCCATCTAAGCTGTGGGGATCCAGAACAGCTGGTGAGCCCATAGGAGAGTGAATAAGCACCAGCCCCAATTGCACCGTCATCCTACATCTACCTCCAATATGCTTCGGCCTCCGCCCCAGGGACCTTGGTTACCTTGTGGACCCTCCTCTCCCACACACGCCTTCCCTCATAGCTGCTCCTCCCTGCATCTGACTTTGTGACACCCAGCGCCCCTGCCCAGATACTCAGGCCAGCCACCCAGTCCTCAGCTGTTCTGTAGGGCATCCATCACTGTGATCCAAAGATGCCCCCTCTTAAATCTGAACCAGAGCTCCACCTCAGGTCACAGGCTGGCTGCTGCCAACTGGTTATGTCCAAGCCCAACTCCTCTGCATAACACAGACCTTCACATCTAGCAGCCATTCGCTCAGGAGTCCCTCGGGACATCTCAGCCTCAACATGGTCAAAACCCACCTCCTGATCTCCCCTGAAGCCTGCTGGACCCACCGACTTCCCTATCTCAGTCCATTCTCTTCTGCCTTGTCGCTGAGGCCAAAATCCAGGGGATGCCCCTACCTCCTCCGCTTCTCTTACCCTCCACATAATAAAATCTGGCTGGCTTAAGTTAAAAGATCCAAAATCCAACCCCTCCCAACTCCAGTCACAACTCTAGCCCAGCCGCCACCATCACTCCCCTGATCTATTAACCTATGGGCTTCCCTTTCTCCTCCACCCTCACACCCCCATCTGTTTTCCACTCTGCAGCTAGAGGGAACCTGTGAACACTTGAGTCAAATCACCTCCCTCCTCTGCTCCAAACCTTCCATGGCTCCCACCACCTCATATTACAGGCCCAGCTCTTCAGGCTACCATTCCAGGCCTGATGCCTGTCCACTGATCATAAGGGAGACCTGCAGATCCCTGAACACTCCCAGCTCAGCCTCACTTCCAAACATTTGCACATTTGGGTCTCTATGCCTGAAACAACTTTCCACACCCTATTCCACTGAACTCCAGAAATGAACCTTTTCACCTAATTCCTGGCTAGCACTCAGGACCTTAGGCTTGGTGTGAGTCTAGGGTCCCCAGCAGCAAAGGAAGGGGTGGAGGAGAAAAGTCCAGGGACATCCCTCTCCCCTCTATCAGGGGTCCTGGGCCATGTAGGTAGGAGTCAGAGAGGGCCACAGGGCACCCTCCACTCACCCGCGGCTGGTCCATCAGCGCCGCCACCGCTATTGGACCCGGGCTGGCCCTGTGGGCTCAGCCAATCCCACAACTGCGCTGGACCAGGTGCCCGCCCGCCGCCCGTCACACTCGGGGACTCAGTCTCCACGGTGTAATAGCGCACGACTTCTAGGGCGCCGTCTCCGGGGACCGCGGGGATTCAGAGCAGGCGCGGAGAACGCCCCGTTACAGAAGACAACGTCTCGTTGAATGCGGGGAGGTCGGTCCCATCCTGCTTTCTGTCCCCGGATGGTCCCAAGGAGACGCCTGGAAAGCGGCCGGGACCCAACGCTTGGGTTCCCAAGGGCAGCGCAGAACGACCTGTCAAGAGCAAAACGAACGTCAGCGAGGGAGCTACCGGAAGTCCCGCCCCCACCAACTAGATCCGCAAGAAATAGCTCCTCTTGTAGGCTGTGATAGCTCCAGGGCCCGCCGCCATCCCCCGGAGCCTTCTGGTCAATGTAATTCGGCCTGCATTCGGTCCCAAGGGATACGCGAGGGGCGCTGGGAAATGGAGTCCCAAGATGATGAATGGCAGGGTCGTGGTTTAGCTTCCTCTTAAAGGGGCCGTTCCTGGATTTTCTCCTTCAGAGAAGCCCACCAAGCGACCCGTGCTCTACGCGTGGGGCTACCAGTCCTAAAGGGGCCCCTTTTCTCCAAGGATGTGAAATCATAATGTCTCTCTTACGGAGATTTTTTTCTGTAACATTAAATGTTTCTAATTCATAGGTTCCCAAACTGTGGTCCCTGAGTCAGTAACTCGTCAGCATCACTGGGGAACTTGCTAGAAATATAAATTCTTGCCGCTACCCCTATGGAATCTGAAACTAGGTTGAACCCCATCACTGTGCATTGACAAGCCTTGCTGGGAATTCAGAATCAGCTCTATTTCAGAGTCCAGTGTGAAAATTTGGAAAATATAACTTTCCTTATGATAGGTGACATGAAAGTGTTTATAGCATAGGGCCAGGCACACAGTGCTAAATATATGAGACCCATTAGTGCTTTCATGATCATTATCCTCGTACCGAGGCTCACACAAACTGCCTGGAAGGGGAAATTGGAGACGCCTCAACAGAATCACAAGGGTCCTTAAAACTGGAACAGGAGGGCTGGCGCGTTGGTTAAGAGCTGGCTTGGGACGCCAGAGGGCCCCGGTTCGGATCCCACATATGAGGGCCAGTGACACTGCCCTCTACAGCTAAGATGCTGAACAACAGCTCAACCTGGAGCTGGGCTGCCGTGAGTCGCCGGCGACAGTGTAGGCTGCAGCCCCTGCTGCAGTGGGCTGCCATAAGCTACCATGTGTGGCCGGCAGCCACCGTGAGTGGCCAGCAGCCGCCGTGAGTGGCCATCCAGAAGCCTGCGACTGATCTGCCTCGCCTGGGAAGAACGCAATGATAGTGCCAACTTGGGCCAGTGAAGCAACGTCCTCCACAACTAGACTGAAGAACAAAAGGACAGCAACTCGTCTGTTCCCCTGACCCCAATTCCCCAGCGCTTTTCTCATCCCCCAATTCCCCAATAAAAATCTTTTTTAAAAAAACCAAAAAACTGGAAGAGGACAGCTATGGAGACAGAGAGTCGAAGTGATACAATGTGAGGAAGACTCAAGTCACCATTGCTGGTTTTGAAGATGCAAAGAGACACAAACCAAGAGATGCTGGCAACCTCTAGAGCAGCGGTTCTCACAACCTTCCTAATGCCACGATCCCTTAATACAGTTCCTCATGTTGTGGTGACCCCCAACTATAAAATTATTTTTGTTGCTACTCTATAACTGTAATTTTGCTACTGTTATGAATCGTAATGTAAATATCTTTTTGTTTTCCTATGGTCTTTGGCGACCCCTGTGAAAGGGTCATTTGCAGGTTGAGAACCGCTGCTCTAGAGTCTGGAATAGGCAAGGCAACAAATTCTCCACCCAGAGCCTCTGAAGGGAATACAGCACTGCTAACACCTTGATTTTAGAGCACTTAACATAAGTGTCAGACTTCTGGCCTCCAGAACTGAAATTTGTTTATAATTTGGGTTGCGTTTCTCAACTTTCTTTTTTCTTTTTCTTTTTTCTTTTTTTTAAAAAGATCTTATTGGGGAATTGGGGGAGGGGAACAGCGTTGGGGAATTAGGGAAGGGGAACAGACAAGTTGCTGTCCTTTTGTTTTTCAGTCTAGTTGTGGAGGACGTTGCTTCACTGGCCCATGTTGGTATTATCATTGCACTCTTCCCTGGTGAGGCACATCAGTCGCCGGCCACTGGACAGCCACTCACGGCATCTCTTGGCAGCTCACACTGGCTGCCTGCCACTCATGCTGGCTGCTGTCCACTCACAGTAGCTTATGGCAGCCCACTGCAGCCCATGCCCATGCCGGCGACTCATGGCAGCCCAGCTCCATGTCGAGCTGCCGTTCACCATCTTAGCTGTAGAGGGCGCAGCATCACTGGCCCTAATGTGGGGATCCGAACCGGGGCCCTGCTGCTCAGAACTGGCATCCCAAGCCAACTCTTAACAAACACGCCACTCGGCCGGCCCTGTTTCTCTACTTTCAAAGGCTCATGTAATTACATTAGACTCAGATAATCCTGAATAACCTTCCCATCTCATGATCCTTAACTTACTCACACCTGTAAATTCCACCATGTGAGGTAACACATTAGCAAATTCTGGACATCTTTGAGGGACCCTGATTCTGCTTACCACACTGAATTCACATGGCTATTAGATATTTTAAAACAGGTGTCAAAATTATAAAAGCAGAAATTTCCACAAAGAAATCTAAAGCTCCAGCTCCTTCAGAAACCCCCACCCCCTCACACATACGATCTGGCAACCACCTTGAAATTTTCTGCCTCCCTTCCCTTCTCCATCCCTGGGTTGAGCCGACCGTGCCTCAGTGGCCCTGAGACTGGACAGCCATGAAGGCCACATTTTCTTAGGTCGCCAGGAATCCAGCCTGGGCATCAGAAGCCTCTTGGTTCCTGCTGGAGGGGTGATGGCTACCAGGAAGCTACCTCAGAAGAATACAGGATACAGGAAAACTTAATTTCCTCAGACAGTGACCTTGGCTGTGGTAGATACAAGCTTGGCCCCTGTAGATCTCACAGGCAATGATTTTGCCTACTGCGCTTTGGTCTCCCCATTCTCTATGACCTATACCCACCACTCTCCATCTACACACAGTTCTGACCTGTCCCTCATTTTCTCAGACCACTGTACCCTCTTAGATCATCTACTTGCTCTTCAGGTGAGCTCTGGGTACACAGGTAACTCTGAAATCCAGGCCAAAGGTTCTTTCTACAGAGCCCTTAGTTTCTCCCTGGAAGCCTTGAGGCAGCAATGCCTCTTGAACCACAATAAGACAGAGTGCCACCCCCTATCCTCCCCCTACATCCTCAGAGGCAGACGTTGTCACCACCGAGAATTCTACCCCTCTGTTGCCACACAGATGTCCAGCCGTCTGTCCCCCTACACTTAACCCTAAACTGACCCTTTTGAGGACACTGCTCATACACCTTGCGTCTCCCTGTTTGGCTCCAAAGGATGGCCAGTTAGTCAATGACGGGTAAGATTCCTCGTGGGAGGAACAACCTAAGACAGGCACG